CCCCAAATGAATGCAAACTTTCTCTGTCTATCACTCTCTTTCTGGCTCATTTTTCTTAACATGATACTTTCCATGTGGTACCACTTGTATGTAAATTTCATGACATCATCTTTTCTAACAGCTACATAGTACTCCGTTGTGTAGATGTACCAAAGTTTCTTTAACCAGTCATCTGTTCTTGGGTACTCGGGTTTTGTGGACATTTTGGTCTTGCAGAAAAAGCAATCATTTTTCTGAATCTGGGGGGGGGGGGGGGGGAACAGCAAAAAAAAAAAAAGCCAACCCTCTGTTCTTTTTTTTTATTGCAAATGACAGGATTTTATTTTTATTTTTTTCACAATGTAAATCTAAATTTATTATTATTTTATTATTATTTTTATTGGACCGGAGTGATAGCATAGTGGTAGGGTGTTTGCCTTGCAAGCTGCTGGCCCGTCCGAGCCAGGTTCAATTCCTCTGCCCCTCTTGGAGAGCCTGGCAAGCTACTGAGAGTATCTGGCCCGCATGGCAAGCTCCCCGTGACGTATTGGATATGCCAGACACAGTAACAACAAGTCTCACGATGGAGACGTTACTGTGCCCGCTTGAGCAAATCAGTGAACAATGGGAGGACAGTGCTACAGTGAAGTGCTTCCTTGATGTGTGTTAATTATTTTTATTAGTGAAACACCATGAGGTACAGTTGTAGACTTACAAATTTTTGTGTTTGGGTTTCAGTTATACAATGATCGAGTACCCATCCCTCCACCAGTGCCCATTTTCCACCACCACAGGTCCCAGTATCCCCCCACCCCCCTCCCCCCATCCCACCCTGCCTTTGTGGCAGGGCATTCCCTTTTGTTCTCTCTCTCTCTCTCTCTCTCTCTCTCTCTCTCTCTCTCTCTCTCTCTCTCTCTCCTTTTGGGTGCTGTGGTTTGCAAGAGAGGCATTGAAGTGGCAATCATGTTTGGTCTGTAGTCTACTTTCAGCATGCATCTATCATCCTGGGAGGATCCCCTCAACACCCATGGCTTGGAGGCCAGCCACACATGCTAGGGGGAAAAGGCAGCTGAGATAGAGAAGGGAGCACCAAATAAAGGGTGTTGGGAGGAACCCTCAGTTCTTTTGAAAGGTGTTTGACGTGGGAGAAAGAATGCATTTGGAAGCACATTTGTCGGTGGCTGCTTCAGGCCGGCTGAAGCCAGCCACGCTGCACATCTCTGTGGAGGGTGTTGAGGGCCTAGGAGGTGCTGCCACCCCAGATCTCGAGCCTCATGCCACTCCCGACCCCCTGGGCAGCTCGCAGTGGCTGGCCCTTCTGCTCTTCCTGCTGCTTTCCACATGGGGACACTGAGGTTCAGAGAAGTTTGGGTGACTGGCCTTGGTCATACAGATGGAGAATGGACAAGTCAGGTTTCCCCCCAACATCCAGGCTGGTGGGGTCAGCCCCGTTGGTGGCCGTCATCATGGGCGTTGGGGGCATCTGCAGAGAAGCAGCTATCACGGGGCCTGTTGGCTTTGGGGATGGACCCTGGGGTGAGCACAGGGGCCTTCTGTACCACCTCCCACCCTCCGGGAAGGCTCTCTGGGCAGAAAGGGAGACCAGGCTGAGCCCCAGCTGCTCACTCCAAGCAGACCTCCCCTGCGTCCACACCCCCATGGCCTTTCTGTCCTAGGTAGACTCCCTTTTCCTCTCTGGGAGCCGGTCACCCCGAGGGGGCCCAGCTTTGCAGGTGGGGGAGCGTTCTTTCTGCGCTGTCATCACATTTGTGTTCGCAGGGGACAGCGAGGTGGAGATGCCCACCTTGGAAAGCAGAGCATGTAGTGTAGACCCTCGCGGCTGCCCTTGGGGGTCAGCCTGCAGTTTCTGACCTGCTCGTGTGTTGCCTGAGGCCCAATGTTGAGTAACTTGCCCCCAACACAGGATAAAAGACTTTCTGGGGAGAGTGAAACTAGATAGCCTCCTTGGTGGCCTGTATTCTGAGTCCATCAGGATGAGCATGATTGTCCATCTATCCATCTGTCTACCCACCTAGTCACTGTCACCTACCTGTTGTCCTTCCAGTAACAGTCCACCTCCCACCACCACCCAATGTCCATCCGTTTCTCCATGTATCTGCTCATTCAACGTTACTCCTCTCCCACCTGGTCATTGCATTGACTATGTAGCTGACGTGGTTTTCTGAGTCATTTCGGGAAAGACGTTTCTCTGTCCCGGGAGCACTGACTTTCTAAAGCTGGAGACTTCTGTGCCACTCTGGGCTGACTCCTGGCAGCTCAACCCTAAAAAGTTCTGCAGATATGCAAAGCTGAGGCTCTTCGTCCTGAAACATGCTTGGCTTCCTTTTTTTACTTATTCATTTATTTAAATGAATCAACCACTTAATTTATTTTCTTTTGGGGTCACACCAGCGATGCTCAGGGGCTACTCCTGGTTCTGCACTCAAGAATTACTCCTGGTGTTGCTTGAGGGACCCTATGGGATGCCAGGGATCGAAACTGGGTCGGCTACATGCAAGGCAAATACCCTCCCCACGGTACTGTCGCTCCGGCCTCCATGCTTGACTTTCTAAAGCATGATCACAAATGAATACTACAGTAAACCTGAATTACTTAGGCACTGTTTTATCTTTTAAAACTGCAAGTGTTGGTTTGACACTCCTAAAAATTGTTAGAGTAAGTCAAAGTAAAGATGTTCACAGGCCACTAATAGCGATAGAAAAAATTTGAGATAAGTTAATTAGAATTGCATATGAGGAAATAATTATGAAGAGGCAGTTTGGCCTAGATAGTAACATATTTTAAGTGCAAAGCAAAGTGAGTCCTTTACCTATTTTGCGTGGTCTTCATTGGAAGATGAATAAGCCATTCCAAGACAATCACAGTTTCCAAAAGTTTTAGCTTTTTCACTGGGCAAAAGTTTATGTGTATAAAAATGGAAACGTGAGCATAAACACCATCTGATGAATCCTTTCCTTGCGTGTCATTTCCTGTCTTCAACCATCCCCGGCTCTTAACTCGACCCTTTGCCGTCCTCGGAGTTTTCTTTCGATCGGTTTCAAGGGCATATTCCTCCACTTACTACTTAATTTCATTGACTCACAATTCCATTCTGGAGAAGCAAATTAGGTCGGCATTGAAATACAATAAATGTTTGAATGTAATTGTTTACTTTTTCATTGAGGTTCTGTTTTATTTTTAGCATGGGGAATATCCCGTCAGTTTTTAATTAAAAAGAGTCAGATGTACTATAAAGTTGAGAATAATGGCATGAACCTTCACCTCGCCTTGGCTGGGTGTTCCTGTATTTAGCAGGGGGACCAGCGGGATGCTTTCTCTTTTTTCTTTCCCCAGAACATTACTTGAAGACGACGGGGTGGGGTGGGGACAGAGAGAGCAGCACGTGGCTTTAGAACCAGGGCGAGGAGCAGCTCAGATTCAGCACACCTGCCCCTTTATGTGGGAGTAGGGATTTACTGGATTTCATAACTGTGCACACACGTGTGTGCCCCCCCGTGTGTTCTGATGGTATACATACAGACACACACATATACCATCCAGGTCCTGAAGGATTCTCTCTCTCTCTCTCTCTCTCTCTCTCTCTCTCTCACACACACACACACACACACACACACACTAACACCCCCCCACATACACACACATAGACACACACACTCCCTGCGTGTTCTGATGGTATACATACATCCACACACACATATATCACCCCAGGTCCTGAAGACCTCTCTCTATCTCTGTATCTCTCTGTCTCTGTCTCTCTCTCTCTCACACACACACACACAGACACACATATCAACACTTCTCCCCCCCCCCCCCCCCCCGACACATACACACACACTCCCTACAGGGCCTGATGGTATACATACATACATACATACACACACACACACACATACAGCATCCCAGGTCCCGATGGCCTTTCTCACTCTCTCTCTCTTACACACACACACACACACACAGACACACACACACAAATCCCCAGCGTGCACTCACACATGCACACACACACACACACACACACATACACACATACACTACCCCAGGTCCTGATAACTTCTCTCTCTCTCTCTCTCTCTCTCTCTCACACACACACACACACACACATACACAGACAAGCACAAGTGCATGCACGTGTCTGCGCTTGTACACACACACAAACACACACACACACACACACACACACACTCCAAACTGAGGAAATAGGGCTTATATTGAGTCAAGCCATGAGTGGTCGAGGTGGAAGGCGTTTGTGTCCAGCTGTTGGTCGGCCTTGGGGAAAAGGGGTCTGAGGTGAAAGGGCTTCACTCTTCCTTGGGGGCGTGGCCCGTGCAGTCCACAGCCTTCCAGAGAGTTCCACGGCCCTCACTCTGCTGTCTGCCACTGCATGACAGGGGAGAGTGTGCCCAGCATTTCTGCCATGCCCACCTCAGGCCCACCCCATGATTCTGTGTCATCCGTTAGCAGTGGGGATGCAGGAGCCGGGCCGTCTGTATAAACACCATCAGGGTCTCTTAAGACGCACACACTGGGGGCTGGAGAGATAGCACAGCGGAGAGGGCGTTTGCACTGCACGCGGCTGACCTGGGTTCGATTCCCAGCATTCCATATGGTCCCCTGAGCACCCCCAGGAGTAACTCCTGAGTGCAGAGTCAGGAGTAACCCCTGAGCATTGCCGGGTGTGACCCAAAAAGCAAAAAAAATAAAAAAAGACGCACACACTGACTCTGCCAATACAAACCATGACGATTTGGAGTCAGCCCTGGCTGGAGGGGCAGTGGGCCGCGTGTCACCCGATTGCTCTGGGAAACAACCGTGTGGACCTTTGCTGCCTCCTGTCAGCCTGGCCTTCGGGAACGTTCCGGGAAGTGTCTGCACCGGCCAGCGAGCGGCTCCACCCTGAGGGCTGGTGCGGCTCCCGTGGGGGGCTTGGACTGATCCCCCCACCCCACCCCATCCCACCCCACACACAAACCCCAATCCTCTCTCTCTCTCTTGCCCCCCAGGTTGAAAAGATTGTGGACAAGAGGAAGAGCAAGCGAGGGAAATGGGAGTACCTTATCCGCTGGAAGGGCTACGGCTGCGCCGAGGACACGTGGGAGCCCGAGCACCACCTCCTGCACTGTGAGGAGTTCATCGACGAGTTCAACGGGCTGCACCTGGCCAAGGACAAGCGGGCCCGGGTGGGCAAGCAGGCCTCCAAGCCCCCGCGCGACGGCCGGGGCCCCTCGGCCGAGAAGCTGCCCCCCCGCGCTCCCGAGCCCTCCAGGAGCAGGGGCACCTCGCACAAGCGCAAGCGGGTCGGCCCGTCGGCCCTGCCCAGGGGTACCCGCAAGGGCTACTCGGCCAAGGCGCCCGCGGGCGGTGACCGGGCCGCCAAGACCGTGTCCTACAGGACTACGCCCAGCGGGCTGCAGATCATGCCACTCCGCAAGGCGCAGGACGGGCTGGAGAACGGGGACGCGCGCTCCGAGCAGGGGGAGCCGCACTTCGGGAACGGGCCCGCCCCGCCGGGCCTGGGCCTGGGCGAGCAGGTGGGCGAGCCGGAGCTGGTGGAGTGCGAGGGGAATCCCGAGGCGCCGGCGGAGAACGGGCTCGGTAGGTCCAGCAGACGCCCCCTGCCCCCCCCCCCCCCGGGGTCCTGTGCGCACGCAGGCTTGGCTGCCCACCAGGGCCCGACACCCATGGACACTGCAGCTTGGCCTGTGAGGTGCCCAGCACCCCAGCTTGGCCTTGCTGACCCCTGCCGGGACCCTTTTCTGGGGGTGGTGGTCCCCAGCCCACGAGGACCCCAGGCTCGACCCAGAGGGCCCCTGTCTGCCTGCGGGGGCTCAGTGAGACCCGGGAGCGTGACGGGAGGGTGGGCTGTGGGTTGGGGGCCACACCCCTCCTGAGGCCCCCGGATCCACCCCTCAGGGAGGCCTTGGGTCCACCTTCCCCCGGCCTCCCCCTCCCCCGGCTCCCCCTGCTCCCTGGGGGGCCGAGCTGTCCCGCTCCATGCGGGAAGGAAGCAGTGGGACAGGGCAGGGACTTGCCTCTGTCTTCCCACGGCCCTGGGAGCCGTCCCAGGATCAGGAAGTGGTGGCCGTGGGACTCTACATGCCCAGCCCCGAGTCCCCCCACCAGCAGCCTGCTGCTTCAGGGTGGCCTTCCTGGCGGAGGCAGCCAGATCCCCCCTGTACCCACACAGGAACGCATCTGTTCCTGTCCATGGCCCAGGCCTCCTGGCCTGTGTAACTGAGTCTACGCTGATGCATGGCTCTAGTTACCAGAGAGAGACAGACAGAGACAGAGAGAGGGAGAGAGAGAAAGAGAAAGAGAGAGAGAGAGAGAGAGAGAGAGAGAGAGAGAGAACAGAGACAGAGTGAGAGACAGAGACAGACAGTGACAGAGACAGAGACACAGAGAGAGTGAGAGACAGAGACAGAGACAGAGAGACACAGAGAGGGAGAGACAGAGACAGGGAGCAAGAGAGCGTGCTGACTGGAGGTGGGGACCTGGCAGATCTGATGGCAGAAGGGGGGGGGGACGGAGGGTCAGGCCAATGGCAGCCAGTGACCTTAGTTCCTAGAGCTGAGTCAGGGCCCTGTGTGCTGGGCAGAGCGCGGGGGGTGGGGTGGGGTGGGGGTTGGGAGCCGTTCCTGGGATTCCCCTCTCTCTGAGAGTGTCTTTTGCCCAGACACCAGCCCTCAGTTGCCGGCAGTTCTGCCCGGGGACCCGATGGACGCCGGGCTCTCAGAGAGGCTGTTTGTTCCACCTGGCAGGTGTGAGCCAAGCCTGGCACGGGCCGCCTTTGATGCTGCCTTGGCAGCTGCCGAGGGGGGCCAGGAATTCCCCTCTCGGGCAGGGGGCTGAGCTGAGGGCTGGTGGGGGATTCCCAGCATCCCGGGGACTCAGCCAGGTGAGGGAATGAGCAGGGGAGGAAGGTGTGTCTCGTCCGGGCCGTTTACCAAAGTGGGCCAGAGCATCCTCGCTGTGGGCCCTGCCTCTGTGGGGCCTCGTCCGTACCCAGGGTCCGACACCTGGTCATGGGACTGTGTCACCCCCAGAGGCCAGGGACAGCCTGGGGACCAGCCGGGGAGGCGTCTTGTGCCCCCCACTGAACTCCCACCTGTGCGGCCATGTTCTCTGCTCTACTCAAACCCCTGCCCCTGTTTTCTTTGGTTTGGGGGTGTTTCCCTGGGCCCCTGTGCTCAGCCCCTGTGCTGGCATTGGGGTCTGTGAGATGCCCCCCCGCCCCTCGTGAGGTCGAAGCAGTGACTGGCAGTTCTTCCTGGATGAAGCTTCCTGGCTCTGGGACCCAGGGCAGAATGCTTGGTCGGGCTGAGTCTGGGCTGTGTGATGGGTTTCGGGGTCTACACCTGGCGGTGCCCAGAGGCTTCTCCAGCTCTGGGCCTCTGGGGTCCCTGGGGCGTGCGGCTTGGAGACTGAGGCCTGTGTGCTGGGCTCATCAGATGGAGCCTGGTGACCTGGGCGCCTTGGGAGACAGACCCAGGGACACAGCGTGGGTGACCATTTGGGCTCCGTCGGGCTCAGGCCAGTTTCGTGGGACTGTTTTGAGCACCTCCCATGGGTAAGACACATCTCAGTGCTCAGGTGGAGGCAGGAGGCTGCTCTGGGGAACAGATTCCTCGGGCTCAGCGTGCAGAAGATGGGGGTCAGGGGGCGCCTGCATAGACCACGTGGGGTCACCTGTCAGGGACTCTCTCCGCTGCCCCCCCCCCCCGGTCTCCCCCGTGAGAATGTTCTAGCACCTGGAGGGCCCTGGGAACAGGAGAAAATGGGGATCCTGGCCAGAGAGGCTGAGTCCGGATGTTTCTGGACACACCCAAGGCAGAAGGTGTTTTGTGACTCCAGAATGTTCCGGGAAGGGGTCAGCGCTGTGGTCAGGCAGAACATGCCACCCCCCACCGCATTGCCTGATGAAGAAGCCAGGGCATGTGGCCTTGTGGAACCCCAATCGTCTTCCCATGGGGTCCCCCACCCACCACCACCCCTCCCCGTGGCCCCCCTGCAAGGGGAGAGTGAGCCACTTCCTGTCGGGGGGGTGGGGAAGCTCCCGGGGCATTTGTTTTGGGGGTGGGCTGCTGCTTTTTATATGCGCTCAACTTCTCTTTGGTGAATGCAGGTTCTGCCTCCCGAAAAGCGACTTATGTAACACGTTACTCATGTGCGGCTGACTCCCTGATCCGTGCCGTGGGAACAAGTGCTAAATCGGTGCTCAGCGGGCGGGCGGCCTCTGCGTCTCCGCCGGTGCCCCCCACCCCCTCCCCCGGCAGCGGTGGGTGAAACACCGCGCCGCGTCCAGAGTCTTCTCGGGGATGACAAATGGCTCTGTGGTCCGGGCACCATCTGCCTGGGTATCCTTGGGGGAGCTCGTTAAAAACGGGCTCCCCCGCCCCCAAGGGCTCAGGATCTCCCGGGCACGCTGTGAGCTGCACTTTTTTGGAGGAACGCTGGGTGTTCCCAGCCAGGGCTGTCCCCGCGCTGCCTGCTGGAGACGCTTGTGGGGCTGGGCTGGGTAGAGCCCCGGGAGTTACTCCCTGCCTGAAGCAACGTCGGTCGTCGTAAGGAGGCCTGGGTTCTGTTCCTTCAGAGGTGCCCGCTCTCCCTGCCTCTCCCTTCTAGAAGGGTCAGTCCTCAGGCGTGCAGGGAAGCTCTCGAGGTCGCCAAAAAACATCCCTTCCCTCCCCCCACAGTCTGTTCCCTGAGAAGCGGTCTGCAGGTCTCGGGGAAGGAGGCTGGAGCATCACCCCTTCACAGACACCCCTCGGCCCATGGGAGGCTCCGTGAGCTGGAGGCGGTCTCACCCAGAGCCTTTTCTGTTTGGGTGGTGGTGGGGTGGGGGTCCCCCAAGCGTACTTAGAGGAGATTCCTACCAGCTGGGCCAGCAGCTCCCCCGTGCCACTGCGCTGGGGGGCCCTCCAGGGTTGTACCCAGCAATGATGCTCACAGGACCACACAGTGTCGGGGATTCAACTGGCACCCACTGGTGCGTGACGAGCGAGGCCGCAGCCCCTCGGCCTGGGCCTTGGAGCCCACAGACGCCGACACCCTCTGAATTCCACAGAGCCGGCAGCTTCCCCATCTCCGGGTGTCTGAGACGGTCTGTCGCCCAGTCCTGCTGCTGCCTGGTGTTTCTGTGCCGCGCCTCTCCCTGAGTGAGCCATCCCACACAGCCCTGCACTGCCCGCCTCGTCCTCCCCACTGATCCCCTAAAACGGTCTCAGCTCGCTCCCACCCTGCGTCTGTCTGTCTCCTGCTCGCTTCCTGGGCACACTTCCCGCTCTGCCCTGTATGGAACGGAACCACCTGGTTTTCCATGCTCCGAGACAGGCTGGGCTCAGAGAGCCTGGGGTCCTCACCTGGGAGCCCCCTCGCTGGGCCGCACTGCGGGGTGGAGCGTCTGAGCTGCAGGCGTGGAGCAGAGTCTGGGGATCTCACCCAAGTGGCGGCGCCCCCGAGAAACATCCAGAAGATGAAGGTGCGGCTGGTGGCACGGGAGTCAGAGGCCTCGGGTGCCAGCAACGTTGGCGCTGTGAGAGCTGGTGAGGGCCAGACGCGGATGCCGGAAGTGGGACGGCAAAGGCATTTCCTGGCTGGTGGTCCTCGAGGACTCAGCCCTGGCCTGCGTGGGCAGCGCCATCCCTCCCTCTCAGGGGACAGGGGCCGGCCGCTCAGCCCCAGAGTTGGTTTGGGGTCCTCCGGCCTGCCTGCGGGCACGGGGCAGGGGCATGGGGGTCATTCGCCCGCATAGACTCCTGAGGAAATATGCCCCCTGCGGGTGGAGCCCTGCGCCCACCTCTTTGCTGCTTGTTGGAGGGCCGGACCCTTCCTCGCCCAGCAAGGACTCCCCCTCAGCACCTCCAGGTGCCCACTGGACACAGCCTGGCGGGGACATGGCGAAACCACTTCAGAGCTGCCACAGGTGCAAGGAGAGGTGCAGAGCTGTGTGTGTGTGTGTGTGTGTGTGTGTGTGTGTGAGAGAGAGAGAGAGAGAGAGAGAGAGAGAGAGAGTACAGATGTGTATTGTAGCTCAGGCAATTGTGAGGGTTTCTGTGTGTGAATGTGTTTGTGTATGTATGTGTGTATGTAGGTAAATATGTGTGTTTGTGTATGTGTTTGTGTGTGTATGTTTCTGTGTATGTGTGTATGAGTATAGCACTGCACTGCACTGTCCTCCCGTTGTTCATCGATTTGCTCGAGCGGGCCCAGTAACGTCTCCATTGGAGACTTTGTTGTTACTGTGTCTGGCATATCGAATACGTCACGGGGAGCTTGCCAGGCTCTGCCGTGTCGGCGAGATATTCTCGGTAGCTTGCCGGGCTCTCCGAGAGGGGCGGAGGAATCGAACTCGGCTCGGCCGGGCCGGCTGCGTGCAAGGCAAACACCGTACCGCTGTGCTACCACTCCACTCCTGGGGCTGGAGTATATGAGTGTATGTTTGTGTATTGTGTTTGTGCATGTATGTGCATGTCTGTGTATATGTGTGTTTGTGTATGTATATTTGTGTATATGTATGTGTGCGTGTGTACCTGTGTTCTAGCACGGCACCCCCTCTGCACACACCTGCTGGGAGCCGGAAGGAGCGACCCCACGAACCTGTGCACCAGCATTCACCAGCCTACCTTTATCCACCTGTATGGCTCGTTCTTTCTGGTTTGGGTTTGGGGCACAACAGAGGTGCACCGTGCATGGTGAGGGTCGTTCCTGGCGGTGCGCAGAGTCATTGCTGCGGGGGACGGCGCCCAGGCCTGTATCCCCACAAAGGCCGCTGTGCGCGAGGCAGTCTCCCTCTCTCCTTCCCTCTGCACTGTCGCCCCGGCTCTCCCACCCACGGTTTTATCTCCTGCCTATCCCATATCTGAAATTAGCTGGGCCGAAGTACCAGTTATTCCGTTATTCACTGGCAGTCCCGTAGAACCCTATGCAGGCGCACTCAGTCTGGACGCGGGGAGTGGTCACGGGACGGCGGCGGGTCCGTCCCCCCAGCCTTGTCCCCACACCCAGCGATGCTCTCCTGGGTCTGTTCTAGCTTCCTCGAGGTGTGGTCGCAGCAGTTTTGGAGGACAGGGGTCTCTCTCTCTGTCGGGGTAGGGCAACACCCATTGGCGCTCAGGGCTGGCTCATGGCTCTGCCTCAGGGGTCACTCCTGTTGGGCTCGGGTACCATGTGGGGTGCCGGGAAGCCAACCTGGGGTGGCCGTGTGCCAGGTGAGCGCCTTACCCCTGTGCCATCACTCCGGCCATCACACATGGAGGCCACTTTTTAAAAAATATACATTTTTTCAGTCACCGTGAAATTCCGAAGTTATTTACAATAGGGTTCCAGGCACACAGTCTTCCCACACTGATCCCTTCTCCAGTGCCAACCGCCCCCCCTCCCCATTTCCCTCCTGCCCACCAGTCTGCTTCCAGCTGAGGCTCTTTTTTTTTTTCATTCTAAAATAAATACTTGTGGGGCTGGAGCGATAGCACAGCAGGTAGGGCATTTGCCTTGCACACAGCTGCACCGGGTTCGATTCCTCCATCCCTCTCAGAGAGCCCAGCAAGCTACTGGGAGTATCCCGCCCCCATGGCAGAGCCTGGTAAGCTCCCTGTGGCATATTCGATATGCCAAAAACAGTAACAACAAGTCTCACAATGGAGACATTACTGGGCCTGCTTGAGCAAATCGATGAAAAAAGAGAAGACAGTGCTACAGTGGCTGGAACAATAGCACAGCGGGTAGGGTGTTTGCCTTACACTCAGCCAACCTGGGTTCTATTCCCAGCATCCCATATGGTCCCCCGAGCACTGCCAGGAGTAATTCCTGAGTGCATGAGTCAGGAGTAGCCCCTGTGCATCGCCGGGTGTGACCCCAAAACAAAACAAAAAAACTTGTGTTTTTGCACTGTGTTTGACAGTGCTGTTGCTCCTGGGGTTCCTACCTACCCCATTCCGCCTTTCAGCGCTACTTCCTCCTCCCGGCCAAAGGCTTCCCTCCACTGTGAGGCCCCCCCAGGCTGCCTCCACCCCCTGGATCTGTTTCCTATGGAATCTCATTGTCCTGATCCTTGTTTCCATTGTGTGGGTGTTCACCATCCCCTGCTGTTGCAGTATCCCGTGAGAGAGGTGGTTCTGTGTGGGTCCCTCTCCCTGACTCGCGCCACTCAGCCAGGACCTCTCTAGGTCTGGAGCCTCTGTGAGGCAGCTCCGGTCTGTCCGGGCTCTGCTGACCCTCTCCCGGCCGTGCATACTCTGACTGTACATCCGGCGCGGAGGCAGGTCATTTTCCAAACCAGTGACAAGGGCAACGACAACACCAGTCCCGGCTGCCTGTGTCTTTCTCTGTCTCGCTGTTCATGCCCTGGGATGAGCTTAAAACTCGAGGGGGAGGGGGCCCTGCACCTTCAGACTAAGTGGCACCCCACTGCCAGACCGCACCTTCAGCCAACTGGTCGGCTGGCCTAGGGCCACCAGGAGCCACCCTCTGTTTTGTGGGGGAGCCCTTCCCCCCAAATACACTGGGAAAGGCAAGAGCCCACTCGCTGCGGGGATCCTGGGCATGTCCCCTGCCGGCCAGGAGTGGCTGTCACAGGCCAGACAGTGGCTTTCTCCCTGAGGCTGCAGCAGAAGCCCCCACCCGAGCTGCCCCAGAGTGGACGAGGTGTCCGGGTGAGGGCGCTGGACTGTGGTGCCAGCAGGGATGCTCTGAGGCTGCTCCAGCCCCTGCTCCTCTCTGGGACCCTGATTCACTCCCCCAGAGCCCCGAAGAAGGGCTGCGGCTCTGGGGAGCAGGGCAGGAAGGTGCATATGCCGTGTGTGGCTCTCTACAGGGGCTGATGGCAGAAGCCAGGACCTCACGCTGCCTTCGGCCACCTCTTGTGTGCTGGCGGCATCAGGGAGCATCAGGGCTGTGTTCCACCTTCTCCAGTGCGGAGCTGTTGCTTGAGGGGGTGCGCACCTCTGAGGACCACTTGGAGGTTGAGGGGGGGGAGCCAGGTCAGGGGTCTGCCAGGACTGCAAGACCATGACCTTGAGCCGGGTCAGCTGTAGCCCTGGAGGGTCGCACGCAGCCCCAGGTGCATATTCTAGCTGGACGTGTGTGTGTGTGTGTGTGTGTGTGTGTGTGTGTGTGTGTGGTTACAGGTGTGTGTTCTAGCTCAGGCAATTGTGTGTTTGTGTGTGCTTATATGTCTGTGTTTGTGTGTATGCTGTGTGTGTTTGTGTAGATTGTGTGAGACAAGCACCTTAGTCCTGACCACTGCGGCCCCCCCCCACCCTGGGCCCTGGCACCCACAGACGTCCCCCACTCTGAATGCAGGTGCAGGTCAAAGCTACGGGCACCGTCGCTGGCCATTCTAGCAAGTCCAGTGGGAAGTCTCATTCTGCATCTGTGCCTGCCCACCGGTAGCCTGGGTGCCGGGCGTGTGAGCCAGGGTGGACAGGGCCAGGGCTGGGCCAGGAGGCGAAGGGAGATCAGGGAGGCGTCCGGGAGGTCACTAACAACAGCCAGAGGAACTCCAGTGGGTCGGGGAGGAGGAGGGGGCGGGGGAGGGCGCCTTTTGGGGGAGGAGGAAGAGGAGGGGGTGGAGAAGGAGGAGGAGCTACCTTAGCCAGGTGGGAGGGAGGGCGAGGCCGAGGCCAGCTAGGTCTCCTGGACTCTCCCTGCAGTTGTTACTATTTCCTTGCAAGGGAAGTTCCCTCCCTGGGGCTCTCTGGGAGGGGCCGGTGGGATACAGCTGACTCAGCCGCCCAGGTGCTGCCCTTGTAGCTGACTCGGACCCAGGCTTGACTCGGACCCGGACCTGGCTTGGCTGCATGACTACTCGGAAAAGGTCCGTGGGAGGCCACCTTGCCCATGGGCTCTCCTTCCTGAGGCTGGCTCCGGGGCGAGTGCGTGCCTGTGTTTTATCTAAATGCAACTGGATTCTGTTTGTTCAGTTCATGTTATCCTCGTCTTCCTTAGTTTTACTTTATTTCCTGGCCGGACAGCAGTTACACTCAGGGAAGTATCACTCCTTCAGTCTCCGTGCCAGCCTCTACAGGGAAGCTCGTTTCATTCTTTTCTGGCAGGTTCCCCTCGAAAATAAATAGACTGATTTGATTCCGTGCCCATCTTGCACTAAAGTTGCAGGACTTTGGCACCTGGCCTCCAGGCCCCTGAGGTGTTCTGCGGGAATTGCTCCCTCTTGGTCCCTACAGGGTCCGGACTCCTACGGCGTCTGAGCATTTATTTCATCATGGATGGAGCATCCATTGCTGACTTCTGGTCTTTGCTTGCACATTTAGGCAGTTTCCCAAGTCTTGCAGTTGTCAGAAACGGTGTAAAGGTGTCCCTCTCTCCCCCCCTCCCCCCATTCTGGGCATTGTGCTTTGCAGTACAGGTCCTGACAGGTTATCGTGTCTGTCCCTTGAAATCGGGGCGTTTTGGATCTCTGTGTCGCCAGTGATCCCACTGAGGCCCCTTCCCGAGTGGGCCGTGGGCTGGGCTCCAAGGCAAGCTGCCGGTTGTGTTTGTGGGCTTGCTCAGGTGCCTGGAAGGTTCCACAGCGGCGGGTTTCCTTGGCTGGCGCCCAGTGCTTACCGAATGTCGTTGGGGCTCTGCAGTGCTTGGCCCCCTTCAGTTCAGGGGTGCAGGATGTCAGTGGGGCCCAGGACATCCCAGAAGGGATGGTATGGAGTACCCAGCCTCATGCGTATGCCTGTACATTTCGGGGGAGGGAGCACACCCAGTGGTTTCCGGGGCTGACACCTGGCTCTGTGCTTAGGGCTGACGCTTGGCTCTGTGCTCAGGGCTGACTCCTGGCAGTGCTCAGGGGACCCTGTGGGATGTGGGGGAGCAAAGAAGGATCAGCCGGGTACAGAGCAACTCCCACCCCCTGCCCTGTCTCCCCGACCCCAAGCCTGTGATTTTCTTCCTCGCCTCTGTCCCCCCTCCCTCTCGTCCTGCCCCCCACCCCCACACCCCCTGAGATGCTCAGGGGCTGCTCTGGCTCGTGCTTGGAGTGCTCCTGCAGTGCTCGGAGAACTGCGTGTGCGTGGGGAGGGGGGACATGCCCAGGCCCCCCCCTCCCGGTGCCACACCTGTGCCCTCACGCACTGCATCACTTCCAGAAGGCTCCGCGCTCACCAACGGCGGGCTGAGCCTGCAGGGCGCCGTGAAGAGGAAGCTGGACGCGGAGAAGGACTACGTCTTCGACAAGAGGCTGCGGTACAGCGTCCGCCAGAACGAGAGCAACTGCCGCTTCCGGGACATCGTGGTGCGGAAGGAGGAAGGCTTCACACACATCCTGCTGTCCAGCCAGACCTCGGACAACAACGCGCTGACCCCCGAGGTGAGAGCCGGGACCCAGGGGGGCACTGCCTTCTCTCTCTCGGTGGCCCTCGCATCTGCACGCGCCCGCCATACGCAGCACCAGACCGACCCGTTTCACGTGGAGGGCCCGGGAAGGGGCATCTTGTGTCACAGATGAAGGGTCTGTCCTGTTGCCGGGGAGCCATTCTGCCAAGTGACGGGGGCGGGGGCGGGGGGGAGGGTGAGTCACAGATGAGTCAGGGGGTGCCCAGAGTCCAACCCCGCCAATCTCAGCCTCTCTGGCTAATCTGCATTGCCCCTGGCATGCCACTCTTGCTCATTCGTCTGTTGGTTTTGCATGCCCACTCTTACCCCTGTTCCGCATGGGAAGGGGGCTGGGTCCCTGGGGTCCGCAGGCTCTGATTCGAAGTTCCTCAGCCCGTTTTCCTTCCAGATTCTGATCTGACCTCGGCCTTGGTAAGCAGGACGAGGAAACAGTGAGGCTAGGTACCACTGGTGGACAGCACCTCTGGGACTGTGGGATGGTTTTCAGGGGGGCTGTAAAGAGATTGTCGATGGTGCAGATGTTGGGGACACTCCTCCCAGCAGCTCTGTCCCGGGACGGATGGGGCAGAGGCAGATGGCAGTGACAGCAAGGCTAGTTGGTAGGGACTACGGTCTGTTACACTTTTTTTTAAAAAAATTTTTTGATGAATCACTGTGAGATGCAGTTACAGACTTACAAACTTCCCTGATTACGTTTCAGTCATACAATGATCGAGTACCCATCCCTCCAACAGTGCACATTGTCCACCACCAGTGTTCCCTGTATCCCTCCCGCCCCCCCCATCTCTGTGGCAGACACATTCCCTTTCTCTCTCTCTCTCTCTCTCTCTCTCTCTCTCTCTCTCGGTGTTATGGTTTGTGATATGGGTATTAAGTGGCCATCATGTCCAGCCTATAGTCTGCGGTCTGTTACACTGGCTGTTATTTTGCTTATTTACGTATTTGATGCTGGGGTCCAGCCCCAGAGCCTTCTACATGCAGAGCAAGCCGTTTCTACCACCAGTGTGATCGTTGTTTGGGTTTGGGTCCGTCCTGGCAGTACGGGGGTGTAGTCCCTGTCTGTGGTCAGGGGCCCTTATGGGTGATGCTCAGGGCCATATGTGGTTCCAGGGAACAGGTTTGCGTGTCAGTCCCTGAGCCTGGAACAACAACGAAAAAAAACACCCTTACACACGGGGCCAGTCTTGTGCAAGGAAAAGCCTTCATTCCTGAACTTTCTCTCCAGCCCCTATTGCGTTTGGTGCTGATACCCATTCCCCGGTGTGACTGTCTGCTGTAGGACAGGCGTGACCCTCACTCTACGGCTGAGCGTAGATCCCTGAGTGGGCCTCGGGTCTCAGAGCTGCAGGAGGGGGGACCCGGTGCCTCTGCACTTGGTCCCCTGACGGGCCCGTGGGAGGGTGACCCCACACTCTCCTGGCTTGGCCGCCTTCTACCCTCTCATCCACAGCCGCCACAGCCACGGGGGGTCGGCCACAGGCAGTGGGTGGGGTCTGGCCTGGCATTCTCGATTCACCTGGTGCCCTCAGGGAGACCCCAGATGTGGACCGGGAGGTGGGGCATCCTTGAACTTACAGCCACATGTCTTACTGTTGAGGGGACCTGGGGAGGGCAGGGTTGCGGCCTTTGCCTTTTCAAGGGACTAGTGGTCGCTTGATTTGCACCTCCCCTAATCAGAGCCACTTGGGGGCCTGTTTTCTAATTTTAGCAGGACTTCTTGGGGTTCCCCATGTAGTAGTCCGAGAACTCCAGGGACTCTGATTTGCACCTCCAAGGGTGGTCTCAGGTGCTTCTACAAACCCGGCGACCGTGCTATTCTAAGCTGATCACAAAACATCCACATGAGACCTCTTCGTGGCTGTCCCCCACTACTGCACTGTGTGTTAAAAGTGAGGTCTGAGAAGGCGTGGCGTCTCCCGCTGGGAGCTGAGTCTTTCCTCTCTGGGGAGGCCTGGGGGCTCACTGTTCTCTACCCTCGTGGAAAGCATGTGTGTCCAGAGGGTCGAATGAAGCGTCTCACTCCCCAGACCTCATTGGGGTCCGCTCCCCAGGGGAGCCTGTGGTGAAGGGGCATTCTCGGCCGACTCTGTGACCATGTGGATTGCCTCGCTGGATAAAACAGCTGTGTGTATGTGGGCGGGGGGGTGACCCCGGGAGAAGCTCCCTGACCCAAGGGCGAGTGCAATGAGGAGCAGTGGCATGGGGTGAGCAGGACCCCCAGATCCTGCCGCGGTGGGTCGTGGCTTGGCTTCTCCAGGGGGAAGAAATTCACTTCACCCAGTTCATTGGAGTGCGGATCCTCCTCCCCTGGTGACTTGAGACACGCTGCAGAGTGGCCGGCACCCAGGGCTCCAGGCTTAGTGTGGTGAAGACGAAGTGGATAATTCCATGCCCCCGGCAGACCCTCGGTCCACTGGGGAGACGCCATGGAGGCCCCTTCAGGATGGAGCAGTGCTGTCTGCTTCCTGTTTCTACCGTCCCCAGAGCGTTAACTGGGCCCCGAGGGGAGCCAGGAGCTGGGCACCTCTCTCCTGCCTGGACACGGCGAAGAACTGGAAGTGAAGAGAGGGCCACTGGGCAGACAGTCCTGCGCCCTTTTCTATGACGAGGGTTTTCTGGCTCCCTGGGCTGCCCTGAGCTTCTGGTTTTCTGCATTGCCCTCAGCCACGGCAAACAGCTCACCGTGCACCCTGGGGATCCCAGTAAGCAGCACCCCCACAGCCCCATAACTGCCTGCCGGGGTGCACTCGCCCTGGGGCCCAGTCACGGCTGCCTTTCATCGCTGTGTGATGGTTGTAAACTGAGTTCCAAACTTGGAAACCTTCAAAGAGGGGAAGCCACCGACTCTGGGTCCCAGTCAGAGGAGCAGCATGAGAAAATCAAGGAGGGGTGTGTGTGTGTGTGTGTGTGTGTGTGTGTGTGTGTGTGTGTGTGTGTAAGGGCGTGCTGACTAGCTATGCGTGTGTAAGGGCCTGCTGGCCACCTGTGTGAGTGTGTAAAGCTGTGCTGACCAGCCGTGTGTGTGTGTGTGTAAGGGTGTTTTTCTTTGTTGTACCAGGCTCAGGGACTGACATGCGAACCTATTCCTGACAGGCTTTCGTGCATGCAATACCCCAGCCCTGTCCACTCGGCCAGTGTCCACTCCCCTCCACCACTGTCCCAGCGTCCCCCCAACCCATCACGATCCCCGTTCCCCGGCCCCTGGCCCCCTGGGCCCCTGTCATGAGCAGTTCTCGGGTTCGTGTGTTGCTCCCTGATTGTATCCCGCACAAGAGCGATCATTGTGTGTCTGTCCCTCTCCCGGCCGAGGTCCCTCACACAGCGGCTCCGACCCCGTCCACGTCCACATTACAGCTTGCACGATTCCTTCTTAGAGCCGAGTCCTGCTCCTTTGTGTATCTGTGCCAGAGTTTTTAACCCAGTCACCTGTTCTTGGACACGGGTTGGTTCCACATCTTGGCTGTTGTGAATAGTGCTGCAGTGAACACTGGGGCACAAATGTCTTTTCTGAACGGTTTTGGGACCCTTGAGGCGCATGCCAATAAATAGAATTACTACATCATTTGGAAGCTCAGTTCTCAGGATTTTTTTAAAAAATTTTATTAGTGAAACACCATGAGATACAGTTGTAGACTTACAAATTTTTGTGCTTGGGTTTCAATTATACAGTGATCAAACACCCATCCCTCCACCAGTGACCATTTTCCACCACCACCAGATAGAGAAAGGAGCACCAAATAAAGGGTGTTGAGAGGATCCTCCCAGGATGGGAGGATTTTTTTTTTACAAGTATCTGGATTGTCCCATGACATGAATGAAACAAACTTAATCTTCTGCTGATTTCTGCCAGGGGTAGCCTTCGTGTTTATTCCTGTTCCCGAGGGCTGGCTCATAGCTTTCCATGAGACTTCTTCCCTTGGCCTCTCGGAGAAAGCGTGTCCCCATCGGGGGGGCTCCTCGCCTGTTTCTGGAGGCCCAGGGGGACAGCAGGCCGAGAGCACGGTCTGTCCGTCCTCCTGGTGTTGTTGCTGAGGATGTGTTGCGGTCGGGGCAACCTTCTCCCAGAACGTAGACAGGGAGTGTCTGTCTGGGTGAGGGATGTTCCACCCCGTGTCCCACCAAAACCCAGCCATTTGTGGGAGCCCTCCTGTAGGGGACTTGGGGGTTTGCGTCTCGGTCTCACCCCTTCTCAGCCACCTGGGATGCTTCCTGCCCTTCTGCCGCGTCTCTCTTGCTCCCACTCTTCCTTGGAACCACGGCTCTGCTTGGAATCCAAGAGTCGGTGGCAAGTGCTGATGTAATCTGTGACCTATGGTGATGACTCACTGCCAAGTGGTGGTTCTTAATCAAATCCTTAAGCATCATTTAAAGCACAGCGCTCTCAGGCTCTCGCCCCCCATCCCCGTGGCTCATGCCACTCACATAATTAAACGAGCCTTTAGTGCCTATTCACCGGCCAGAGAGATGGTGCGGGCGTGATGGTGGTCACACGCAGCTGACCCTGCATCCATCTCTGCCGCCACAGAGGGTCTCCCTGGGAGCCAGGAAGAAGCTCTGAGCATGGCTGGGTGTGGCCCCAGACCAAAATAGCTAAATAAAAGCAGTTCCCTTCCCGTCTCCCTGCGCGGCCTCATCTCCCCTCAGACATCACACCGTCTGCACTTTCTCCTCCTCTCTTAACTTCTGTTGGATTGATGGAACTTCCCTTCTGTGCATTCATTATAATTCTTGCATTTTTAACGAAGGTATCCTTAAGTCGTGGGGCTGGAGCGATAGCACAGTGGGGAGGCCGTTTGCCCTGCATGCGGCTGACCCGGGTTCGATTTCTCCATCCCTCTCGGAGAGCCCGGCAAGCTACCGAGAGTATCCCGCCCCCACGGCAGAGCCTGGCAAGGTCCCCGTGGCGTATTCAAAAATATGCCAAAGACAGTAACAACAAGTCTCACAATGGAGACGTTACTGGTGCCCGCTCGAGCAAACCGATGAACAACGGGAGGACAAGGACAGTGCTACCTCCTTAAGTCGTAGCCAAGTCCCCATGCAAGCTCTCCCTGGCTGTGGTTCCCAGGCCTGCCGCAGAGGCCTGCCCTCATCGTCCAGAATCTCATTACCCGCGTGTTTACAGCTCTGCCTCGCACAGAGTCCCCCTGTTTGTCAGGGACAGTTCTGGATGTTTATCGTCTGTTCTGGGGGGGAGGTGTGGGTTTGGGTTGTACCTGGTGGTGCTCACGGCTCACCCCTCACAGGCTCGGGAAAGCAGATGGTGCCAGGGAACAGCCTCCTGCCAGGCCTTCACCCCCCTTTTCTGGCTCTGCAGGCCCCAGGCCTTAGAATGATTCATCAGCACATTCACCCATCTCTCTGCTGGCTTCCAGGTTCCTTGCCTTCGAGTTTTTATGGAAAGCACTTCCTCCTCCTCTTCTTCCTCCTCTTCCTCCTTCTCTTCCTCCTCCTCTTTCTCTTCCTCCTCCTCTTCCTCCATCTTCCTCTTCCTCCTCTTCCTCCTCCTCTTCCGCCTCTTTTTCCTCTTCCTTTTTCTCCTCCTCTTCCTCCTCCTCTTCCTCCATCTTCCTCTTTCTCCTCCTCCTCTATCCTCCATCTTCCTTTCTCCTCCTCCTCTTCCTCCTCCTCTTCCTCCTTTTCTTTCTTCATCTTCCTCTTTCTCCTCCTCTTCCATCTCTTCCTCCTCCTCCTCCTCCTTTCTTCCTCCTCCTCCTCTTCCTCTTCCTGTCTTCTTCCTGTTCCCCCTCCTCCTCCTCCCCTTCCCTCTATTCAGGGCTGCTCCCAGCAGGAATCACTCCTGGAGGGGCTTGGGGGACCCAGTGGGATACCGGGGATTAAACCCAGGTTGCCCTGACCGCTGTACTATATCACTCTGACCCCAAGAACAATGAGTTGTTTTTTTTTTTCTTTGCAGCACACCTTTTGCTTGTTGTTTTCAGTGAGAGATTCAGACAGAAAAGGAAAGCTCTGGCTGAAAAAGGCGACCACTCACCCCAGCTTTTGCAGGACAGTTGAGCTGGCTCCCCACTTTGTGTTTGACAGTAACTCTCCTTAGCCCCCCAAAATGCTGGGCGTCTGATGCCGTCTCTTACAGGCGGGAGGGTTTGAGCTGATTCATGGATGAGTAAGATTTGGGCAGAGCGATAGTGCAGTGGGTAGGGCATCTGCCATGCACATGGCCGACCTGGCTTTGATCCCTGGGATTCCGTATGGTTCCGTGAACCCCGCCAGGAATGATCCCAGAGCATAGAGCCAGGAGTCAGCCCTGAGCAGGGCCAAGTGTGGCCCCCAAACCAAAATAAGTAAAGGATGAGCCAGATTAGAATTAAAAGAGGCCTTCCTTGGTACATTTACACAACGTGTACTATGTAGCTGTTAGAAAAGATGAAGTCATGAAATTTACATACAAGTGGTACTACATGGAAAGTATCATGTTAAGCAAAATGAGTCAGAAAGAGAGGGACAGACATAGAAAGATTGCATTCATCTGGGGGACATAAAGTAACAAAATAGGAGACTAACACCCAAGAATGGCCGAGATTAATACCAGGAATTTTGCTCCATGACTTGGAGGCCAGCCACACGTGCTAGGGGAAAAGGGAACTCAGATAGAGAAGGGAGCACCAAGTAAAGGATGTTGGGAGGATCCTCCCAGGATGGGAGAAGCATGCTGAAAGTAGACTATAGACCAAACATGATTGTCACCCATTGCCTCTTTTGCAAACAACAATACCCAAAAGGAGAGAGAGAACAAAAGGGAATGCCCTGCCACAGAGGTGGGGGGAATGGGGGGATGAGGGGTGGGAGGGATACTAGGATCCATGGTGGTGGGAAATGGGCACTGGTGGAGGGATGGGTATTTGATCATTGTATAATTGAAACCCAAGCACAAAAATTTGTAAGTCTACAACTGTACCTCATGGTGTCTCACTAATAAAAATTAAAAATAAAAAAAGAGGCCTTCCAGAGACAGTGCTCACCCTTCCCTCAAACCGTGCACAGGAAGTTTCGGGGGTGCTGGGAGTCCCATCTCAAGCCGTGCTCAGGAGGCCAGTGTCCACTCTCAGTGCCATGCACTGCCATGCAGTGCCAGAGGGTCCAGTGCTTGGCGCGTGCAGGGGTGGGCTTCCTGCTGGGCCTCAGGGCTCCCCTGGCCCTGCCCCCGGCTCACGGGGCAGGCACCCACCTCCCCGGCCCTCTCTCCTGCAGATCATGAAGGAGGTCCGGCGTGCGCTCTGCAACGCGGCCTCAGATGACAGCAAGTTGCTGCTTCTCAGCGCCGTGGGCAGCGTCTTCTGCAGCGGCCTCGACTACTCCTATCTCATCGGCCGCCTGTCCAGCGACCGGCGGAAGGAGAGCACACGCATCGCTGAGGCCATCAGGTGAGGCCCTCGCGTCTGCCCCGACACGCGTCGCCAGCCACCATGTGGGTCTTTCCCGATGACGGGGTCCCAGGACACGCGGGCCAGGTGGAGGGGCAGGGAAGGGAACGTGCTTACTCTAAATTCATTACCTGCCAAGAATGTGGGTTTTCTGGGTTTTCTGGGGCTGCCCCTGTATTTTCCCCGCCCACATGAGGAGTTGGCGGGTTCCCCACTTGACCCTTGGGGGCCCGAGTCTGCTGCATATCTGTGGCTCCCCCACATCCCTACCAGCCCCCAGGGGTGCTCCCACTGGCTCCTCCTCCTCCCTTCCTCTGGGACATGCACGCACCTGGCTCTGCTCCCATGCTCACCCTGCAGACACCCCATGAATAAGCTGCTGGGGTGAATGAGCTCCGTGAATCACTGTGCAGTGCCCAGACACTGCCCTGTGGGTCAGGAGAGAGGACCCAGGCGCCCTACTGCAGGGTCCTTGCGGGGTCCCAAGAACCAGTGCGGACTCTGGGAGCAGTGCCTGACCCCAAGCCCGGCTCCACTGCCTCCTCTGCCCAGGGTCTACTGGGACCCGCTGCAGCTGGTGGAAGCCCTGGAAATGGGAGCCACAGAAAGTGCGGAGCTGGGGTCTGGGTGGAGCTCAGTGCTGGAGCTGGGACCGTGCATGTATGAAGCCCTTCAGGAAAGTGGGCAAAAAACAAGCAGGAAAGCACACTCCTGGCCTCATTGGTTGCCTGGACAGAGAATGAGAAATGGTCCAAGCGAAACTTCGGGTTGGTTCCCAGAGCACAGGATACACTGGGAATGGGGACTTGGATTTTTTTTTGGGGGGGGGGTCACACTTGGCGATGCTCAGGGGTTCCTTTTGCTCAGGGGTTCCTCTGCACTCAGGAACTACTCTTGGCGGTGCTCGGGGGACCATATGGGATGCTGGGGATTGAACCCGGGTTGGCTGTGTGCAAGGCAAACGCCCTCCCTGCTGTGCTATCTCTCTGGCCCCAGGGAAGTGGCTCTTACTCCTGTGGCCATCCTGGCTACGGCTGTTCCTGAGGGGGCAGAGCCCAGAGGCCCCTCCGGGGATGTCTGGAGCTTGAGGCCACTGTCACAGGACCCTGGACCTGCCCGTGTGGCTCTGAATGTCCACTGCAGCTTTACTGGCCAGTTGCCAGCGGGTCACCAAGGAAGACGTGGCCCTTCCAGGCGAAACGCAGATGCCACTCAAGCAGAATTTAGCTTCTGAGTCTTGTGGCCCAGAGAGCAGGACAGGAAGTGGCACCCACGTCCCTGGTCACAGGACTTAGGGTCAGGGCGGCTGTGGGGGCAGCTCTTCTAGGGAGGCACCTTTCCCCCTTCCCCCATTTTTCGAGGACAGTGAGGATCCAGAGACCCTGGGCTGGTGCCAGGGACTGAGCTGACACTGTCCCCAGGTCCCGCAGCCTGTGCCCCGTGTCAGAGGATCCCCAGCGGCCAGATGCGGCACGTGGGGCCCGGGTGGCCGAGGTCAGCGCCGGCCTGTGCAGCCTGCACCAGCCTGCCGGGCTGGTATCAGGTGTCCCTGCCTGGGCAGAGTCGGTAACACAACACCTCGCTTGCGGTCTGGGACAGAGGTCTGCCCCGGGGGAGCGGGATGGGGGCTGTTCCCCTCAGCCCATCTCCCCTCAGCCCACTGCCCTGCACCCAGCACAGAGCCTAGCTCAAGAAGTCCTGAGCGCAGGGCCGGGGTCTCCCTGCTTGGGGCTCGGGGGACCCGAAAACCCGAGTGAGCTGCCTTCATACGTCCTCACAGACATTCAACAAGGCCATCGGCGGGTCTTGGGAGTGTAGGGGGCAGCATGCCCAGAAAGTCCGGAGCGTCCAGGGCCGTTGAGAGTGGACTGTTGCTGGGCCACTCCCCCTACCACACACACCCCCTGAGGGTCCGAGGACCCTGCGAAGGGGCTCGCCCGCACCCTGGACTCTGCCACTGCATTTGGCGGCCAAGACGACGGGGTAGAGGGGTGGGGGAGGAGAGGGCCCGCTGGATGGGCAGGCAGCAGAGGGCCCGGTGATGGGTGGGCCTTCCTCTCTGGCCATGCCCTATAGGGGTCAGCCGCCATGGAGGGCGGCAGTGGCTTGAGAACCCCTTCTTCCGCTCAGAGCATCTGCCCAGGTCACAGCCCAGGCAGGGGAGGTGAGAAGGCCACAGTCATGGGCCTGAGGGGGAGGGAGAGAAGCTGGGGGTGCCTGTATGCGGCCCCCTCCCCCTCGCGGAGTGCGCTCCGTGGGGGGGCGGGCAGCTGTGCTAGCGCCAGAGTTCCAGGGTGTGGGCAGTGCTCTGACCGCCTGCATGGCTTGTCCCAGGCCCCCTCAGGATGGGGAGCAAAATCTGACCTGAGGAGGGTGCACCCCTGGGGTGTTTGTTCTCTGAGTCCATACTGAAGCCCCCCGGGCGTGAGCGGGAGGGGGGGACAAGGTGGTGGGGGGTCTGAACTCTGGCTGAATTCCAGTGCTTTCCTACCTCGGGCCTGGGCCAGCTGACAGCTCCCCTCCCCACCCAGAGGTAGTTCCAGTTTCCTGGTGCCTACGGGGGCGACCCAGACCCCCGAGAACGTGGTCAGTGCAGGCAGCTGATCTCACTAGGTGCAACCCTACCGGTGCGCGAGGGACCCCCAGGGCGGTCGCCACCCTATAGGCTTCCTTCCGGCATCCTGGCCCACGTTTTGGCCCCCGGCCCCCCACCAGACTGTGTTCTCCAGCCACCCCGCCTCCCTTCAATTAATGCGGAACCAGCCAGGCTGCAAAGAAACCTTAAATCCGAACCCAGACCCCCACCCCCGCCCCCAGGGGGCCAGAGCCCCTTCACTGTAGCTCCTGCCCCCCTCCCCCACTGCCTCCTCCTCCTCCTCCTCCCTTGTGCTCCTTTGTTCTGATCTGCCTCCCCGAGAGGCTTTCCAGGCTTGTCTGTAATTCATCAGCCCTGAGGTTCTGCAGTGATAGCAGCAGGCACAGTGCAGGGACAGTGGGTACGGGCTGGGGCCAGCGGGGCACACTGGGACATGGGCCCACTCCACGAGGCCTCCCAGGACCCCTGGCACCATCATCAGGACGTGTGCCAAGCCCGCAAGCTCAGCTCCAGGAAAGTGAGTCCCGTGCTCTGGCTGGGCACCCCCTTCCCTCTGCTCCTGCCCCAGGTCCAATCCCCATGGATTGCTTTAGGCCTCACCAGGGACTTGTTCCCTCACCCCCGCAGGGACTTCGTGAAGGCCTTCATCCAGTTCAAGAAGCCCATCGTGGTGGCCATCAACGGGCCCGCCCTGGGCCTGGGCGCCTCCATCCTGCCGCTCTGTGACATCGTGTGGGCCAGCGAGAAGGCCTGGTTCCAGACACCCTACGCCACCATCCGCCTCACGCCCGCTGGCTGCTCTTCCTACACCTTCCCGCAGATCCTGGGCGTGGCCCTGGTAAGTGTCCTGGTGGATTTCCAGGGCCTGGTTTTATTTTTCTGAAGAAGCGGCCATAAGCCGAGAGAGTTAGGGCCCCTCGGACAGGTGATCTGATTATGGGGACCCCTTGGCACGGCCAGGCATCCCGTGTTGGCTGGAGGGAAGGGTCGCAAAGCACATGGGACACAGCAGCGAGAAGGGGGGCCCGGGTCTCGGGAAGGAAGACCTGCTGGAGTTCCCCAGGTGAACCCCTCAACCCTCCCCGGGAAAGGCCCTGCTGTCCAGAGTGGGGAGGGGTAATCAGCGGCCAGGCTTGGATGCCCATTCAGCCGTCCTGCCCCGCCGTTGCTCTTCCAGGCCAACGAGATGCTGTTCTGCGGACGGAAGCTGACGGCACAGGAAGCGTGCAGCCGGGGGCTGGTGTCGCAGGTGTTCTGGCCCACCACCTTCAGCCAGGAGGTCATGCTGCGGGTGAAGGAGATGGCTTCCTGCAGCGCCGTGGTGAGTCCCCAGTAGCCGTGGCTGAGGGCAGTGGGGCTCCCAGCCCGTCCCGCTGGCTTAGAAAGGCCCAGAGTGGGTGGAAGAAAGCCCCGTGGCCTTCCACAGAGTCTGTGTCTGTGTGTACTGGGGCGGGGGGGGGGGGGGGCGAGCGTCAGTCCAGAGTGAGTATTGGGAACCCTTGCGGAAGGGCTGTACCAGAGGGTAGGTGGCAGGATGCGGGGGGGGGCGGGGGACTTGGGGGGCACGCTTTGCCTTAAAAAATACCCCAGGGGCTGGAGCAATAGTACAGAGGATAGAGCCTTGCATGCGGCCGACCCGGGTTTGATTCCCAGCATCCCATATGGTCCTCCGAGCACCGCCAGGAGTGATTCCTGAGTGCAGAGCCAGGAGGAACCCCTGAGTATCGCTGAGTGTGACCCAAAAAGCAAAAAAAGAAAAAATACGCTAGGGCTGGAACGGATCAGGTGTTTGCCATGCACATAGCCAATCTGGGTTAGATCCCCGGCATCCCACAAGGTCCCCTGAGCACTGCCAGGAGTGCTTCGTGAGTGCCGAGTCAGGAATCAGTCACCCGTGAGCATCGCTGGGTATGACCCAAAAAGCTAATCAATCAATCAATCAATCAATCAATGCCCTAGACTGACACGACAGCACAAAGCCCCAGAGTCTCCCAAGGAGGCCGAAGCCAAGGCTGCCTGTTGTCCATCCCTCGGGCCCAGCTGCATGGGCTCCTCTTGCTCCTCGTTTCTCCTGCATCACGGGTGCGGGGCTTAGCCCATCACCCCACTGACACTGAAGACATATTTAAGCTCGATAAATAAATAACACCTCCTCCGAGGCCCCAGTTTTTAATTAAATGTCGATTGTATCTCATAAAATCACTGCACGTCTCGTGTGGAAATATCCTGTTGAGAGGTGGAGAAGCGGCTCCGGGTGGCGCCCAGGGCCGGCCAGGAAATGAGAAGGCGCTTCAGAGACGCCGGCCTGGAGTGTGAGCTCAGGGGGCAGGCGGGGGGGGGGGGGGGGGGGCGGTGGCGGCTTCTTCCCCGCCCTCCTTGTCCCCAGCTATCACTCTCCATTGGCGTGGATCGGCACGTCTGTGTGGGCAGACACCCCAGGCCTTCACAGTGTGAATGACCGAGATGGTGGTCATAGCGCTGGTACCCGGGGTGATCACTGAGGTGCTCGCGTATGTTGGTTACTGCTCAGGGCTCTCTCCATCTTACCGCTGCCCACAGGGACCGACTTGTCTGTCCCCCTTCGCCTAGGGTTCCCCTTGTTTTAGCTCTGAAAATCCTGCTAAATTCCGAGGAGGCCAACAGAGCTCGGATCAGCAGGCGGGCGGGTGCTCGGCAGGGGAACAGCGGGAATCAGGTGCGGCGTGATCAGGCTGCAGAGACTCAGGGAGCACGGGACCGGCGGTTGGCTCTGGGGAGGCGGGGAAAGTGAGGAAAGGGAGACTGATTCTCATCTCCGCATTCATTTCTACAGCTTTCACTGCTGTTACTGCTGTTCTCAGACCTGAACCAGAGGGGGTGTGTGGGGGGGGGATGATCCGTCGTCCATTTTCCGATCTTACTCCGGGATGCTAGAGGGGTCCTGAGGGGCCTCGGCATTTCCGTGTCACAGTCCTGCACTGGGGGAAGACAGTGGTTCCCAGACGACTCCAGCAGACGGAGGGAATGGGCCGAGCTCCTGTGGCCCTGCGGGAGAGCACAGCCCCCCAGCAGAGGGGAGTGGGTGCCCTGGTCACCCCGAGAGCTGGCCCGGCACTGCTGCGGGAGAGACCGAGTCGAGCTACCCAGGTAACCCAGTGCATGTCTCCCCCCAGGTCTTAGAGGAGTCCAAGTGCTTGGTCCGGAGCTTCCTGAAGTCGGTGCTGGAAGACGTGAACGAGAAGGAGTGCCTGATGCTCAGGCAGCTGTGGAGCTCACCCAAGGGCCTGGACTCCCTCTTCAGCTACCTGCAGGACAGGATCTACGAGGTGTGACGGCGGGCGGCCCCGTGGCCCCGACACCCCGGGCCGTCGCACTTCCCACCGGGCCTGTGTCTCGGAAGTCGGGACTCCAGTGTCCACCCGGCCAAGAGCTTCTGCAGGCGTCCGCGTCCCTAGGGTTGTGTCCATTTCCTCGTGTCCTTGGTTGTTCCCATTGGTTTGGTTTTGTGTAGGCAGATGGGAATCAGCGCACTTGGCCTTCCCCGGTGCCCCTCCCCCTACGGCTCCAGAGCTTACCGAGGGCTATATCTCTTCTCGGGCCACTGCCGGCCCCTGTCCTGGCCCCCCTCACCGTGCCCCCTGGCTCAGGCTGTGTCTGCACAGTGCCTCTGGTCTGGAGACAGGCCCCCCGGGGAGCCCCTCGCTCACTCTGGGGACAGGGGCTGAGCCAGCCCAGGGAATTCTCAGACCAATGAGCAAAACCAATTCTGCAGGGCCATCTGCGGTCTCCTCTGTGATGCGAATCTGTGTGACTTTCAGGGCTTGGTCTTAAAACCCAATTGAGTGATTTACAAACCCAGATATTGTACATTTTAGGGACTTCTTTTTGTTAAATCTCTATTTTTAAAACGACGTAAGTGGAAATTCTGATAATTTATGTGTATTATATGTAAAGCTAGTTTTGCAAACAACGTGAACTACTAGGAAAACGTGTGTTTTTTTTTTGGTTTGTTTCTTTAATCAGACTTATTTAATTTATTTATTTGTGTTTATATATGATGATATCTGGCTCGTCGATACAGATGTTATTTTCATACTGCCCTGGACCAAATCCCATTCCAGGTTCAACTTCCTGTGGTGCATCCTAGCAATGGACCACATGGAACTCACATTCAGAGACAAACGGGGAGGCTTGCTGGCGCCAGAAGGCTAAGTCGGTACCAGACCCACTGCCGGGAGGTGGTTCTCGGCCGGAATCATCGGGAACTTATTCCCGAGGCTTGGACTTGGGGAAAGCCCGGAGGATTCTCTCCGCGCTACTTACTGCCTCTAAGAACATCAAGGCTCTCTGGCTGGAATGGCCCTGAGATATCCCCCACCTGGCCCCCAGGGTGTCACCTGGGCATGACTGTGGGGGTTCCACTGTGTCAAGCGAGGCTGTTTTCTTGGGGGCAGAGGACTCGGACGTCAGGATGCATTCCTGTGCCATGAGGCCAGGCGGGGAACTCGTGGGGAGTGGAGAGCCTCCATGACTGCCCCCTCCGTCGGGAATTGGGATGCCGGGGCCGTCTCTCTTTTCCTCTCGTTGTCCACTCACCTAAGGGAGCAGGAGGCAAGGCTGAGGTACCGAGTGGCCAGGCCTGGGCCCACGCGGGATCACCATAATTATGGGGAATCCATCAGCCGCATGTCCCTGGATGAGGGAGGGACCCTGGTTTCTGGTTTGGGTTTTGTTGGGGTTTGCGGTGTTGAGGAGCCGAGAGTGGCTGGTTCTGGTTGTGGAGGTGCAGCTCCTCATCTGACGGGCTTCCCACCTCCATCATGACCCCCGTGCCCTTCCTTCTCTCTCTGTTATCACATCTCTCCCTCCTTCCCTCCTTCCCTCCCTCCCTCCCTCCTTCCCTCCCTCCCTCCTTTGGAGATAGTAGAACAGGACAGAGAGTTGAGTGCTGGGAAGTGTGACCCACTGAGAAGTGTCTTGTCCTCTCATTCCCTCCACTCTCCCAAAGGCCACCAGGTGCATTGGGCTGGGCAGGTGGGAAGTGTCCTGATACCTGAACTGGGGGTGGCCAAGGACAGGTTAAGCATCTACCTTAGCTCTGCAGACACTGCCCCTGACCCAGCGACACTGCTGTCAGTCTGATCTTGCTTCCCCTGACAGCCCAGCATTCCTCTGAACAAGCCTCTCCCCTCAGTGGCTCCCCCTGCCTTCAGGTTGGGGGGCAGAGAGGACCCTTTGCTGCCCTCACCGTCCAGCCTGTGCTTCCTTGGCCATGGTGGGACCACAGGGTATAGGCACACTGGCTGGAATCAGCTGAAGGGGGTTCCACATGTGTTCCATCCAGTGTGCCCCCAGCTGCATCCGTGCAGGGTCGAGGGAGAAGTGGAATCCATCTGTAGGGAGTCACTATAGGGCAACACCAGCTACTGCCCCAAGCCTCTTGCCTCATCTTCATGTGGGGTTCTTCCCTTTCCTTCTAGAACGCCCCTCTGCAAACCCTCAAACCAAAAGCCTTCTGCTTACATGACAGAAAAATCTCTTCATTAACTTCTCTAGAGATAATTTTTTTTTTGCTTGGGGGCCTTCTGGGGAAGTCATATTCCCCGTCTCCGATAGCTGTGCAGGGTTTTCAGCAGAAAAGGAGGAGGATGTTTCGAAAAGCCTCTTGGTCAACGTTCATCTTGGTTCCCTGTAGAAGGAATCAGAAAGGTTTTAGCTGTGGTCTGTATCATCACATCCAAACTTTAAAATGATCCGAGGATCTCTGATGAATGAGGTAGGAGTGTGAGGCCACAACTAAGGTACAAGTGAACCAGAACCTTTAGGTTCTGGGTGGAACTGGACTGTGGTGTAGTTGTTTCCCAACCAAAGTCAATTCCAGAAGGATGTTCCGCCAATCGGACAGAAGTTGGGCCAGTTTGTTTGCTGCGTGATAGAATCACTGAATTTTTCACTCTCAGGAAAGTGGTTTGAATGATGTGTAGATGAAACGGAGGTAGCTGACGCCAGATTGGCTTGGGTAGAAAGCACTCAGGCCTGTGGCTGAATCCGTGGTACCCTAACAGCTTTCTCAGACGGCCTCTGATGCTCCTTTCTTACCTTACACCCACTGCCCTCTCCCTCTCTCTAACGTAAGATCCTCTTCCTCTCCCACCCCATCTGTCACTTCCCAAAGCCTGGGATGATCTTAGAGCTCCTGGCCGTGGGCGGGCAGCTCCCTCTCAATTTAACTTGCGGGTTGGAGGAACAGCTTGGGATGGGAAGTTGTAGGCACCTCTCATTACTCAAGGAACCTTCTAGGCAAACCATTCCGAGCCAACCTACCAGCCATACACATTTGAACCTGCCTTTCCTCGCTCCTCCAAGCCCGCGTGATTAGCGTCCAGCCTCTCATGGCAGAACCATTTGAGTCCGTAGCCTGGTGGCCAGCAATCTATTGCAGAACTGTGCTAAGCTGATCAGGTCCCTTCCACATCGACACAGATCGATGCCTCGTGTCTCTTCTTCCTTTGAAATAAAGTCTGTGGGTGAAACAGTACATCAGAAATTAGCCTCTAAGAATGAGATCGGGGTAACTAGGAGAAGGTAGTAGGAAATTGATTTAAAATACTACTCTTGTTTGGTGTAGATTAAACTAGGAAACGTTCTCTCTGAAGCATGAAAATAGGTTTTTTTCCCATATGAAGATGGAAAAATAATCACAATAGACTTTGATCAATGCAACTGTCTCTCTGAAGATCCCCATTGAGAAATAGCCTCGACTGAATGCCTCATCTCCCATTATTAATCGTTGGTTTAAAGACTTTTGTACACTTTTCTTAATTTGAAATTTAGTCAATTGAGTCACAGTCATGAAATTTTCCAGTAGTTTCTGTGGAAATTTTTTTAACAAATAGAAACATCTTCCAATCTTTCTAAGTGAATATTTAAAATACAGAGTTGCTTCTCTTCTGTGTTTCTGTCTTCAGATACTGAGATCTGTTGTATATACTAGTTTAGACACTCCCACTAATATACACAGTATTTAAGACTCTAAATGAGATTTCTTAGGTATTTTATTTTATTCTCTGTAAATGGTTTTTGTATAATCTTTAAGAATCTACACTTTGCCTTTGTAGATATTTAAGGGAAACCATTTGGGGGTTGTCGTGCATGTATATTTTTGTTGTAGATAAGTGTTGCTTCGTTATTTCTGCTAATTTTGGTTGAAATGCTTACAGACTTTAATACAGTATATATTTTCAGAATATAAACTTTTATATTTCTGTGGTAAGTTAGACTATGCGTTTTAGGCAATCTTTTTCCATTAATATCACTTGTTCTTTCTCAAAACAGCAAACTGGTTTGGTGCCAACGGCTCTCCCCTTTTGTTTTTTTAAATTTTTCAATTAGAATCTAATGCTCTTATATTGTTAAAGAGCCAGTTCATTTTTTCCCTCAAAGTAATAACTGAGTTTTAAAGTATAATTTGAAAATGTATTGAATTTGTGAATAAGCCTTACCAGTAGGATCAGTCAACTTTCCAACCTTTGTGACGACATACGTAGCGTAAGATCTCCACAGAATTCTCACTGTGTGGCAGTTGATGGAGTTTGTGAACAGAGCCTTAAGCTTGTTGCAAAAAAAAAAAGAAAGAAAAAAGAAAAAAAAAAGAAAAAAAGAAAAAAAAGAAAAAAGAAAAAAGGGTAATACGGGTTGTTTCTTCCAAACAGAGCAGCCATGTTGGTGGATGCAGGCTGAGTCATGGCTGGCCGGAAGAGTTTGGTTGAGTTGATGGCAGGGGCTACCTAGGCGCCTTGGTGACTGTCTTTGGCTGGATGAAGGACCGAGGAGAGGCTTTCTGAGCCACCTTCATACTGTACAGACGGGGCAGACACAGCCGCAGGTCAGGCTGCTGGCTCAGCTCCTGTTTGGGACAGATGACATTTCCTGCTCTGACCTTGGCAGTGGACCCCAGCTTGCTTGTGGGGGGTGTGGAGCCCCAGTCTGGTCCAGGTCAGCTCTCCTTGAGAGGTGTTAGCAACGTTTACATGAGAGTCTTACTGTGTAGACAATCCGAAGTCCATTTCAGTCTCAGTCCACATCCCCATGAGTCCTGAGTGTCTGTCAGAGAACCATGTGTGTTCAGCCATACATACAGGCCTCAGTGTCACAGGGCAGAGAGAGACTAGAGGCATAACATGAGCTCACATGCACACACGCACACACACACACACACACATGCACACATATGCACACAGATACGCACACAGATGCACACACACATATGCACACACACGCACACACTCACAGACACATGCACACGCATGCATACACATGCACACAGACACACACGCACACATGCACACACATGCACACATGCAC